TGATTAGGAGTTCATAATTTTTGAATATTTCAAACTGTAAATAATATAACTATTTAAATTTACGTATTACTTGTCATAATTACCTATTAGGTTATTACAATCGTAATTTGGGGTAAATTTCATGCAAAACTACAATTAGGCCCTGTTCTCTACAAAATAATATTAAGTAAAAATAATTTCAGTTCAGTAAAAATAAGATCAGTTCAGTAAAATTAATTTTATTCCAGTAAAAATAATTTTAGTTCAGTAAAAATAAGTTCAGTTCAGTAAAATTCAGTTTCTTAAAGAAGAATTAAAACAAAAATTCAGTAAAAATAATTTAAGTTCAGCTAAAATAATTTCATTTCAGTAAAATTAATTTAATTTCAGTAAAAATAATTTAAGTTCACCAAATATAATTTTGTTTCAGTAAAAATAATTTTAGTTCAGCAAAAATAAGATGAAGATAACGGGGCCTTACAATGAATCAAATATATATATATATATATATATATATATATATATATATATATATATATATATATATATATATATATACCTGGAGTAATTGTTAAAAAATAAATTGAAGTAGTATTATGTTATAGAGTTTTTTCTTTTTTAAAAAAAAAAAATGGAACTACAATTACAATTATTCAAATAAGTAAATGGAGTGCCTTAAAAAAAGTAAATGGAGTAATGTTGAGAAATAAATTGAAGTAATACTATCTTATAAAGATTTATAAATAAAAAATATATATAAATAAAAAAGGAAGAAATTGTTACAACTCACCTTGGCCACTGCGCCAACTCCTTTGGTGTATTACATTACTAGATTAGTACCCGTGCGTTGCACGGTGGTTGATTAGTAATTTTTCTATAATTTTTTTATCTTTTGTTGTTGATAACTTTCTAATATGATTTTTCTCGTTATTTTTTTTAAAAAAAAATTTGTTATATAAATATATAAAAAAAAACATGTACTTAAAAAAATAAAATTTAGTTATAAAATTCTGCATCATAATGTAATATTTACTATGTTATTAAAAATATACTAAAATGATGGTTAGATTAAATATACTAATGTTGTATAAATGTATAATTCATTAAGCTTATACGTTTAGAGTGGAAGCTAAATAAATGTGTATTTACTATAAAAAATAAATAAATAAATAATGTGTATAATTAGCTACCAATATCTATGTCTATTTAATATTGTGAGAGTTTGACACGTAAGCACTTTAAGAAATTGATGGCATCATCAACGTTTTGTTTAAGTAATAGTTAATAGATACGGAAAATATTGTATTTAAACTATATTTGGTTTTGGGAAGTGGGGGGACAATTGTCCTCCCTTATCCCATGCTAGCTCCTTTGTGGTGTCAATGATGGGTTTCATTGAGTAAATGAGAAGATCGATGGTGGGGATGGGTTTCAAAGAGAACAGGGGGTAGTAGAAGGAAATGATGTTTCAATTCATTGATAGGGATGGAGCAAGGTGGTGGAGGAACAACTGAGTTTCATTAGAGAGGACAATGAAGCTTGGTTTAATTTCATTAAAGAATATACAATAAGGTGATGGTGACTCTTCAAATGAGGGATGAATTAGCAATTTATGTTCCCTTTATTAACAATCCAATTGTTATGAAATAGAGTTATACAAGTCCATTATATCTCTATAACTTCTCTAATCCTTCACATTTTTTTTGAACGGTCTCTAATCCTTCACTTTTTTTTTTTGAACGGCCTCTACATTCTCTTTGAGAAGTTACTACTTACTACTCTCATGTAGATATATGTGTGGATACAGCCTAATGAAATATATACACGGATAATAAAGATTGTTCTCTATATACTCCCTCCGTGTTTTTTTAAGTGACACATTTTCCTTAAACGGCCGTTTTTTTTAAGTGACACACTTCCTCTTTTAGAAATTCTTTATATTTCAATAATATATCTTCACCCCACTATCTCTTACTTTATCATTTCTCACTCCTTTCATGGTCCCCACTTCCTCTTACATTCTTTTACTTTATCATTTCTTACTCCTCCAACCTACCTCACTAACATCTTATCTTATTAAAGTCAATAAAATCTCCTAAACTACATGTCAGTCAAACTGTGTCACTTAAAAAAACACGGAGGGAGTTTTTTTTTTTTTTTTTTTTACGTAGTACTTCCTTTAATTTCATGTATTTTATAATGCCAACCACTTACATTAACAAAATCAATCAATATTATTATTAAAACTCAAAGGTAAGGAGTGTCAATCCACCATGTGTCATTTTTTTTGTTACATTTCGCCATGTCATTCGAACCCAATAACAAAAAAAAAAAAGTCCATAAAGTTTGTAACCGGCATTATTAATGCTACAATAATTGTCAATTATAGTGATTTATGTATTCAACGTTAAAACATTTACTTAGCAGTATAAAATGAAGCAATTCAAAGAGTTTTTTTTTTTTTTTTTTTGTAATTACTATTCTAATTATTTGGACTCAATTGAAGTATTGGAATCATTAAAATAGTAATTATAAAAAACTGTTAAATTGCCTCATACTATAACTGTTAAATATTTAATGACTTAATTATGAAATTAATGGTTGAATTACACTTTTTTAATATTATAATCAAATTAAAAGTTTAATATTAGTACTTTGACACTTACCCTATCATTATAAAATAAAACACTTTCCTATTGTGGTTGTGTGGTCAGAAATACCAAAAATTTGTTACAATAATTGCTCATCCGCTCTTAGTATAATAGTGGTTGTGTAGTCAGAAATACCGTGCATAATTTTCTATAGTATTGTTCGAGAAAAAAAAGTTAAATTTTGAAGTGGCCTGACTTTCTTAGCATTATTTTTGTAAGAACTTTATTTTTTATATAGTTTGTATAGTGGAGTATTTGTTTAAATCTATATGCTATACTTATCTCTTTTCAAAACAAAAAACAAAAAAAAAAACAAAAATCATGCTTATCTATAGATTTATAATATTGTATAGATTGTACTATGAAAATTGTAATCTACCTTCCCCAATAGTTTTTATATACTACTAATAAGGTTTGTTACCGTTTAATTTTCTATCATATCAATCAACGGTGTGTGTAGTGTTAATATGTCTTCTTACACAAGTTGATCATTTGTTGAAATATTGCTTACATTCTGTGATTAGATGTCATTCCTCTTAGTTTTCAATTATTTATATGATTTTTTAAAAAAATAAAACTTAATTTATTTTTCTGTGTGTATGTGTGTTATTTGCAGTATTGTTCAACTGGCTTATTTTGGTCGACACATTACGAAGAGATATGACAAGAAAAAAATGAAATATACTACGTACATTGGACTCTTTATAGGGAGTGAAAAAAACGATGGTATAGTAGGATAAAAATACAAACGGTATAGTTTTTTAGGACTATAATGGCAATCTACTATTTACAAAAAAAAATGACTTTTTAAACTATCAAATAATCTAGAGAAAAACATTGTGAAATTTATACTTGTAGTCAATTCAATTTATTGATTCTTTTAATTTGTGTAATACGAAGTAATAATATTAAAAGCTATAAGTTCGGAAATTCTTGGTCTCAAGTAGGTAGAGACCAAGTTGGTCTCTAGTAAGGTCATTTTCGTAATTTCAAAAAAAAAAATACCTTATCTGTAAGTACCAACGAGATATATAACCAATACCATCTTAAGTAGTATCGAAATACCATCCTACTACACGTTGGTATCATCATAATATTACGGTTGGTATCATAAATTAATAAATAATATTGTTGGTATCAAATCACGTCTAGTTTATATCCTAACTATAGCTTTGTTGGTATCTAGCTGCGTTCGATTGGTATCAGAGCCATACGGTTAAAAATTAAACTGGGTTGTTAATATTTAAGTAAAACTGGAGAATACTATGTCCTCTACTGAGTGTAAAAAACCTGATTTTAAGCATTATTATCATATTTCTGAAAATACTAGTAATTTTGGCCTAGTTCTTAATTATATAGTAGATCAAATTGGTGAATTAAGATCGGAAGTTGATAACATACATGCTCGTTGTATTAATATCGAAAATAAGATATCAATAACCACAACCGACATTAATAAAAAAAAGTAAGTGATCTAAACGAACAGGTTAAACAAGTTCAATTTGCTTTAACAAACGAAGTTAGGCATCAATTTGGAAAAGAAGTATCACCTAATAAATTAAAGAGAAATTCATCCCATATAAATATAAATATCCTTTTCAAAATCTAGATAAAAATAAAAAGTTTATTGTAAAACTCCCTAAAAGACCTACTAGTAATCAAGAAAAGAATAAAGAAACTAAACATGAGCCCTCATCTTCAAGAGAAAACACTAAATGAATTACAAGTCCTATTCGACAAAGAAGAAGACCCTAATAAACTTAACTAAATCATGAACTTAATTTCTAAAAAAGGGATTGCTTCTGATAATGAAATAGAGAAAAATAAGTATGCTACTTTATAGGAAGATTTATATCAACAAATGGGATTAATGAAGTTTAATGATCTTGACTTTCTACCCATAGAAGTTGTTCAACAAAAGATCGAAAACAAACTAGGTAAAAGAGTAATGGATAATAATGATGTTGGAGAAGAAATTATTAATGAAAATATTAATGTAAACAATGTTATCCAAAGACCTAGGTTTCAAGGAGAAGGAAGTTGCACACAACCAAGATACATACCAGGGAAGACTACCCGGTTTAGTGTCAAGGTTATGTCTACTCATATACCTAAACAAGAAGAAGTTACTCTTGAACCCATAAGTCTAACTGGTTATAAACTTAAATTAGACGGTGTAAGAGATAGACCAGACGTTTTAGATCAATGGAAGAAGAGTATGAGTAGTGTACTTAATTTAAATACTGAATGGACTTTAGAAATTTCTTAAATTATATTGAACATAGTTTCTACGGCTGTGTAGAAGACTGGTACGATGGAATAGATGAAGAAGTAAAAACTGCATAAAGAGCTAGTGAATCACCTACTAGAATGTTTAGGCAGTTATGTCAATATATTGAGTTAGAGTTCATTGGTCCTAGAGCAGATCCTAATGAGAAAAGAATGGAATATCAAAGAAAGTTAAGTAATTTGTCCATCTGTAATATGAAGTATGTTGATGATTACATTATGGAATTTGAAACATATTATTACAAAATTGGTGAAAATGAAACAAATCTTGGAATGTTCTATGACAAATTACTCAGTCCTCTTAATGAAGAAATCAGTGAAAAATATCAAGAATGGAGAGAGAGATTTTTAGCTAGGGATTCCCTAGGTAACAGAATTGATTTCCTTAGAAAGTGGATTGAAAAGAAGTGTAGAGAGGTTGCAGAAACTCAACAATTGAAGAGACCATTTCTCACTTGTTGGGATTTCCCAAATAACTATGGATGTGAAAGAAAAAACTATAATAAAAGAAAGAAATATAAGAAAAATAAATTTGACCGATCAAGAGGAGAAATCTAAAAGAAGAAGTATTATAAACATAAATATAAAAAGCCAAGTAGGTCAACTAAAAAGAGTTGAGTATTCATTTGAAGATAACGACCTAGATCAAGTAAACAAAGAAAGCAGGATTTTTTTTCCAGATTAATAAAGATAAAATATTTAAAACTTCTTTCTTTAAAACTAGAACTAAATATGTATGTGAAGAAATGGAAGGAAGCATAGTGTAAGGAATATTTCAAACATTATCCCTAGCTTGAACCCCACTGTGATCATACACTAAAGTACGGTGTCGTCCAAAGGGAAAGAAGATAAAACAAAAGAGTCGCCAACAAGTTTTAGGAACTTGTAAACCGTTCACGAGGTGAAGTTTACACCCCTTAACGATCCAGGAGATCGTCAACTCCAATAAGTCTGGAACCATAACTGGTAGTTCAGGGATGAAGGTACAAATCCAACCTAAAAGAGATTGAACCTGCCCTAATAATAGGCATCTACTTTATTATGATCGTATTTATGTGCGTTTTCTGACTAATATGCAATCAATAGGATTACCCCTAAACCTGTTTATCTATGTTGGTTGAATATTAATGCACAAATAAATCTATTATTGGCGATCACTTGAATTATAATCAAATTAACCCTAAACAAGATTATTAATTATCTTATTAAGCGTGATTACAAGTACAAACTCCCTTTAAACATGCATAAAAGGCGTGATCAAGCAATAACAATAAATATCAAAAAACATAATAATCATCATAAATTAATAATAATAATCATAATATTATAATAACAATAATAATCATAATCATAATAATAATAATAATATATATCACCAAGCAACATAAATAATAATAATAATAATTATAAAAATAATAATCATGTTAAAGCATAACAATAGCAATATCCTAGGAATGATACTAACAAGATTAATAACAAACCCTAGCATATCACTAAGCAATAAAGATCAAAGCTTTAACCCTAACATGATACTAACAAAAATATTAGGAAGAGAATAGGAAGCATCATAATAATCATACTTGATTTAAGGAACTTATTCTTTACCCTAAACATGATACTAGGAAGCATTCTTTTAATCATACTTGATATTAGAAATTACCCTAAACATGATATTAGGAATCAAAATAATAACCTAGACATGATTTCTATATCAAAATATCAATTAAACAATTAAAGAACTTACTTGGATGCCTCGTATCTCTTTCTAATAACAAAATACACGCGTTAGTAACTTCAAGGAAAATAATAAATCAAACAATTAAATTAAATGATTGAAAGAAAGAATTAAGAAAGTTTAAACTATATTTGGGACCAAACCCTCAGAAATTAAAATCTTTCACGTCTAGGGCGAAGGCAACTTCGAACTTGGCTAGGTTTGTCTAGTGCTAATGTATGAGGAATTTTATTTGTAAAAGGCTAGGCTAGAAAGAGGGAGAGGGAATCAAGAAATTCTTGATGAGAGTTGATTAGAGTTGATGAGAATTAGAGAGAATTGATGATTGAAAACAGAATTTTAAGAGGCTATTTATAGAGAAAATCAGTCAAACGGATATAAAAACAAATCAAAGTTTCGACAAGAATAAAACTCAATTAGCGCCAGACGCTGGTCATTAGCGCCAGGCGCCAAGCCTTAGCGCAGGCGCTAATAATCAATTTCACGCGTTTTTGTTTTTATCATATCTTTTGATCCGAAAGTTCAAATAAGGAATATAATATGTTGTTGGAAAGATCTTGAAATCTACTTTCTAACTCAATTAGAATCAGATTAAAATATTATGTAGATAAAAAGATATGGTCGAAATAGTGGGATGGTATCAATTTTGAATAGAGTTTTATATCTCATTCATAACTTTTCCGTTATAACTTAGATTTAATATTATAATATATCATTGGAAAGATAATTTCAAGATCTATCCAACCATATAAAATTTTGATAAAGATTATGAGGCACAAAAATAAAATCTGAATATATTCCACTTCGTACAAAACAAGGATTCTAAAAAGGAGTAGTTTTATTCAATTTCAAACTCTTTAAAACATAATTATCAATCCTAACTCCATTAGGATTTAAAAGAACCTTCTAGAGTATTCTAGAAAACTAAAATAAATCCTAATAGCTTTAGGAATGATAATTAATAATAGGCCCTCCTCTAGATCATTGGGCCGCATATAAAAATCAAACCGGGCCCAGTTTAGTATTTTGGCCATAATTTCCTCATTATTCATCGAAATTGGGCTTATAATATGTCGTTGGAAAGGTCTTTTCAAACCCTATCCAACTATACTATTATTGGACCCTTATTATGGACCAAACTAAACTGGAATGCACGTTTTTCAAAAATAGGGTAAAGAAAAGAAATATTTTCAAAAACAGAAAGAATAGATATTTTAATAAAAACATCCTCATCACTAGACTTTTCACACTTTCGCTTTGTTCGATAGTCAAATGACATGAAAGGTATTCATCACTGGGTTTGGTTTTGGGGAGACACAAATGGGTGTCTACACATAGTAATCGAAGATTGTGAACAAAAAGCAGCCGAAATTAATGTCATAAATTGGAAAAGTATTAAAAAAACATAAAGAAAAAGGAAATTATAGCTATATTTGTATTGGTGCAGTACAAGTATACATAAACCCTTTGCAAGATTTTTGCAAGGATGTTAAATGCTTGAGTTTTATTTGTGATATTAGACATAAAGAATTTTATGATAAAATAATTATTGGTTTCACATGTAACTTAAGTCAAGGAACGGTAAGCTATATATCTGAACCTAGATATTATGTGATCTTGGAGGATTCCTTTGCGTCAAAGTTTTTAGCTATTAAGTTATTAACAGAAGGAGTGAAAATGCATAAAGGAACACGACCCATACAACTAATATGGAAGGTGGTTTATAAGTTGGTAAACACTATAAAATCATCTTTTAAGAAACAAATAGTTGATGCTTAGAAATATGAGCAAGGAGGAGGTCCTAAGAAGAAAATTACACCTATAAAGGTAAATCCTAATGAAATTGAAATTGAAAAAACTTGGGAGGAATTCTTTATGAACCCTGCAGTTAGTAATAGATCAAGTAAAATGTTAATTGATGAATCAGGATTACTTCATATTGGAATGAATACAAAACCTAAAATACATAGAAATCTGAATCTTAGAACACCAAGTCTAAGTAGAAAAAATTCAACAATAATAAGAATGAAAAAACAAGGTGATGAAGCCAGAAGAGGATGAAAAAGAAATACTAGTTCTACTAAAGAAACTAAATGAAAAATATGAAAGTAAAAAGGCCTTAAAACAACTAACAAGACATAACATTGATATAAGATCATATTCTAATTTCGAGTTAAATGAAGATCCAAATAATCCTATTGATAAAAGGAAGGTAATTGGATATAAAACCAAAACTGTGAGTGAACCAGTATATGAAGATGAAGTTAACATGCAAATGGAAGCTTGTAATGAAATATCCAGTACTAATCTTAATAGCATTTATATTCCAACTGATATATGCATTAAGGATTACAATAAATATAAATTGTGCGCATATATTGATAGTGGTTGTTCTGCATGTTTTGAAAAGAGGTCATTATTTACAGAATTCTTGTGGAAGAAGGCTAAAAATCCTATGCAAGTTAGAATTGCTAATAATAGTGTCATGATGCATACGGAGATAATTGAAGATTTAAAAATAGAAATTGGAGGAGTTCAATGTGTTATTCCTATTTTATGGGCAACTGATCAGCCTAGTCATGATATGATAATAGGAAATAATTTTCAAATGTTATACTCTCCATGCACTCAAACTATTGATCAAATAATCTTTACTATTAACGGTCATTTTGTTCCTATACAGAAAATAACAAAGGTTTATACTCATCAGACAATGGAATTTACGCGCGGCCAGCGTGGTGATAGGGTTACTCCTACACAACGAGAGGTTGCACTTAGAATGTCTGAGTGTGTTTCATCATTAATAAATCAGATAAATAAACAACAAGAAAAACTATGCAAAAAATTATATTCAACAAATCCTTTAGAATATTGGGAAAAGGATAAAGCATTTGCTAAGATAACTCTAACAAATCCTAATAAGATTATTAGAGTGAGACAAATGGTTTATACCTACCAAGATATTCAGGAGTTTGATGAACAAATAAAAGAATTGCTTAATAAAAAGCTAATTAGGAATAGCAAAAGTCCTCATAATAGTCCATCATTCATGGTAAGAAATCATGCAGAATAAAAAAGAGGTAAAGCTAGAATGGTCATTAATTATAAACAGCTAAATGATAATACTGTTTTTGATGGCTATTACATTTCTAATAAAACTATGTTATTTAATAGAATACAAGGAGCCACATGGTTTTCTAAAATGGATTATAAGAGCGGCTACTGGCAAATTAAAATGGAAGAAGAAAGCATTTCATTAACTGCATTTAGTGCCCCTCGAGCGCATTATGAATGGTTAGTAATGCCTTTTGGATTAAAAAATTCTCCACAAATATTTCAAAGAAGAATGGATAATATTTTTAGAGAGCTTAATCATTGTTGTTTGGTCTATATAGATGATATTCTAATATTCTCAAAAGATTTTAAACAACATAAGAATGATCTTAAAGCAGTAACTCAAAAATGTGCAGAGCACGGTATAATCCTTGGAAAGGATAAATGTGTTTATGCTAAACAAGAAATTTAGTTTCTAGGATTAGAAATTAAAGCAGGACAAATAATACTGCAAAAACATATTCTAGAAAAGATTGAAAAATTTCCAGATAAAATTGAAGATAGAAAACAAGTAGAAAGATTTCTAGGATGTTTAACTTATGCTTCTGATTTTATAGAAAATCTTGCTTTATTAAGAAAGCCATTGCAACAAAAACTCAAGAAAGAAATAATTTGGAACTGGAAGGAAAGTGATTCCAAAATTGTTCAAAATCTAAAAGCTATGTGTAAATATATTCCTGTACTAACACTACTTACTAGTGAAGATGATTTAATCCTTGAAACAAATGCTAGTAATGAGCACTGGAGTGCTGTGTTAAAAATAAAAGTAGGAGAAAGACTTTGCAGATATAGTTGCGGAAGTTTTAACAAAGCTGAGTTAAACTATCCTACAATGCAAAAGGAAATCCTTGCAATTATTAGAGGGATCGAGAAGTTCTTAATCTTCTTATATTAGCCCCTAAACAGTTCTTAATAAGAACAAATTGCAAAGGCATACTCGGATTTGTTAAAAAGAATTTGTCTAATATGCAAGCGCAAGGGAGACTCATGCATGCGTTGGCAATTATGGCTTAACTAATTCTCTTTTACCGTTGAACATATACAGGGAACAAAGAATTCTTTGGCAGACAGCTTGACCAGAGAATTAGCTAATGTCGTCCAAGAAGCTCAAGACTACACAAAAACCTCCCGCGTACCAACTTCAAAAGATGGATGTAGAGAGGAAAACTTTCATTGATGAGACCGAAAAGGCAATGGAGCGGGTTTAACCCTTCAGTTGGGCCTTAATGCAAGGCTTAATCATATCAGCGAAACAACGTTCACGAGATGGTTTAATTAAGGGTTGCCATCGGGCAGTCCAAAGGTTATTGATGTTTGAAATAACAATTATGTTATTTCAACTCATTCCTGATGTACGAAATATAATATTAAACAAAATAAGAGATAATGATTTTAGAACATGGTACGAGTTGGTGGTTACAACTTACAAGGTCCAGTAAATTCTTTGACCTTCGAGATCTATGGGGAGAAAGAATAGAGTTCCCCAAAAACTCTAAAGTTGCATCATTGCGAATTTACTCATTTCCTCTTAATCAAAATGCTCCATTCATTAGTATACATTACAAGGCTTGGGATTATGGAATGGTACATGATTTCTATGAATTCCCTACTCCTAATGACTCTTTCTTTCCAAGACTTACAAAGTTCCAGCAGTACACATTCAACAAGGTTCGAAAATATTGTGATGACAAAAAAGACGAATTTCAGCTAAGAGTAAAGGTACAATGTGCGAATATCGAAGTTAAAGAAGGAAAAGTCAGTCCACCGCATTACTTGATAATGTTTGGGGAAGTGAGGTGTTGCAAAGATCCCATACTAATTCGTTAGAAGACTGTTAGAAATCCAACTGAGGCAAGAGCCTAGCACTGAGATTTTTCTACATTTCACAATATCTTAACAATTTCATAAAAAGGAAAGAAATTCCTCCTGTCATGTTTCATGTTGGTAATACAACAATTGTGGCGCCTAACGAGATGAAAGAATACTTAATAGATGGCGTAAACAACACTGAGTCAATCTACAATTATTTAGAAGATATTGAAAGTGGGGAGTTCCTATCATTTGAAGGCCATGAGTATTTGTTTGAAGCATTCATGAGTTGGGATGAAGAATACGCAGCCAAATGTGTTGTAGAATTTGGCATAGAAGAAGAGAATCCTATGTGTGTAGACAACAAAGATAGTGAGGGGAGCCTACAAGAAATGATGATGGATGAAATTATGAATGCCTGAGCCCACACCAGCAATAATGCAAGGAATCTTCACTGTGGCCACGTTTTATTAATTGTTTCTGTCTTAAAGTATCTTTGTATAAAACAATGGTGTAGAATTGCTTGCTGAGTCAGGAAAGGATCCTATGTAACTTTGCTTCCCTATATAAAGGGATTTAGGCCAAGAAGTGAAGGCAGAGTTGGAAGAGTTAGCTAGAGAATTACTGTGAAAGATTTAGAGAGTCCTCTAGAGAAAAATACTCACCTTAAGAGAAAGATTGGTTCTCCATCTCTCTTAAAGTAGAGAAACTCTAGTTCAGCTTATGTCTGTTTAAGCTTTTAGTTTGTGTGTGTGTGTTGTAATATATGAGTGTTGTAATCTTTTCAAATTAAATAAAAGTTTCGTTTAAGAAGGGAACGTTATCCCCTTGAACCTTATATATCAAATGAGTTATCTTTCTATTTGAAAAGCTCCATCATAAACACAGTAAGGATTGTTTAATTAGAGATTACGGTCTAAGGTAGGAAATGAATTAAATCTGTGTTGAGCCTGATCTAAGGAAGACAAGGTTGGGGTTAGCTACCTTGGTAAAGCCGGAAGCTCAGAACGGCGGAGGTTCCATTGTCGACTAAGTTCATGTATTGGTCAAAACTCTCTAATTAAAGAATTATTATTGCGAAGCATGGTGGGCTGTTAAACTGCTAAAATAATTTATTTTGATGTATAAGTAGTAGAGTTGTGATAAATAATACCGATAAAAGTCATTAATCAAGAAACAAATAAACAACAAATTGATATTAGTATATAAATAGGTTCGTCGGTATCAAAGAGATGTTCAATAGTATCAAAAGAAATACCATCTAAGAGTTCGTTGGTATCAAAGAATAATACCATCTAAGCTTAACTTGGTTGTTGTTGGTATACCATCCACATTAAAATCAGTAGCAAACCACTACAGACAAAAGTGCCGGTTATAGTACATTTGGTCCCCACTTGGTAGAGACCAAAGTGGTCTCAAGTAGGTAGAGACCTAGAAAATCTTCTATAAGTTTCAATCACTCTATATCCACAGTCATCTAAAAATATAATTTGGGGCATTGCTTGGGTCCTAAATAGTTTGTTGATTAAAACATCAACTTTTATTTCTTCCGAAAAAAACAGGGAGTATAGTACAAAATATAAGTCAAATTGTTGCTTTTCAACTGTTATTAAAGTCAACAACTGCGTATCAAAGCACTAGTCGTAATTCTGAAAAATGGCCATCAATTCATAAACCCTCGCAAACATAAACCCATTTCCAATCCACTCGATCTCCCCAAATTTCAATACAATCAAACCTTCAAACTCCATTGAATCTTCAACAATGGCGTCAAACATTCTAAGAAACTCCCTAAAATCAATCAACTCACTAACCCTACGAACCCTAACAACCTACCGCCGCCATTTCAGCGCCGCCGCCGCGAACCCCACCACCGCCGCCGCCGAAGAATCCGACGCATTCACCTTCTCGTCCGACGGCGCCGACAGCAGCATACACCTGAAGGCGAAAAAAGCGGCGGATTCGTCTGTGACAATGCCGATGTCTTTCATGACTGGTTCTATTGTTGGAAAGAGATTCTACAAGAAAGTGACAACGAGAGAAGCTGATGATGGTAATGGGTGGAGTGTTATGCTCGATTATCGTACCCTTAAAACCCCTTCTAAACGTCCTCTTAAACTTCCTACTCTCTCTCTTGCTAAAGCTATTGCTGCTGAGTGGGATTTCCAGGTTACTCTCATTCTTTAGATTGTTTTGATTTTGTAATTCGTGGCGAAATCATGCGTCGATTGGTGTTATTAATGTTTATTTGATGTGGGTATTGTTACCCGGTGATGATCATGTTTGTTGGTTTGTTTTTTGAGCTTGGATGTCAATTGGGTGTTTGGGGATTTTGGTTGAATTTTCTGGGTTATTGGCATTTATAATTTGGTGATGTTATTGGTGTTGTTAAGATTGGTGTTTGTGATTTGATGTTATTTGAGAAGGGGTTTGGTGTTAATTGAATCTCGGGTTTTTTGATATTATTTGTAGCAAACAGATGGAATTAGACCCTTCACAATGCCATTGATGAAGCTTGCTTGCACTGCATTGGAACGAGTTCCTGTTGTTCGCCCAAAAATAATTGAGAATTTGATGAGCAAATTCAGTCAAGACTTAGTTTTTTGTCGTGCTCCAAACGATAACGAATTAACCAGCGGTGTCTATGGTATGATCCCTCATATTGATCACTCTCTATTACTGGTTTTAAAATTTTTTTTTTTTTATATTTCTTTCCCTTCTCGTGTTTTTAATGCTTTGAGTGTGATAGATGATATGTCTTGAACTGTTTTGTTATCGAGGGCCATCCTTTTATGCTTGTGAAGCTAAAGGATAGCATTAGTGTTATAACAGTGATGAAGCAGTGATGAAACAAATGCATGCCTTCAAAAGATATATGTTAAACCTTGCTGTTTGAATTTATGTGCGAATTGTGTTTGTTACTTTGTTAGTAAGGTTGACAAATATCTAAATAATAATGGCACACAATAAATGCGGAAGGAATGAAGTATCAATGGAACTGCTATGATTATTTGGCGAAACATTCATTTTAACATAAATTAAGATAGTATAGCTTAAAGTAATTGAAGCTCATAATTTAACTTGGCATTGTTTGGCCATGCTTGTATTGGGGGTAATGAATTAATAGTAAGTGAAATGGAAAGAAAAGGAATGAAGAAATTTAGGCACCTCTAGAGGGATTGATGTGGTGATAATGAATATAGAAGTGTAAAGAGGGTAGGGGGATTTAATAATTGTCATTTCAAGGGTGATATGTTACTCTACATTTCTCTCATATGGCCTGTTTGGTAGTCTGTAATAAATAATGGGATAAGAATGAATTTTGTGTAATTTGGTATAGATATTACTATCATAGTGATCATCGTCATGCCATCTCATTTCTAAACCTATGCTTTTCTTCATAAAGTCTTATTCCCACCGAATACCGCACTCTATAGTGATAACGGATGGTAATGAAGAGTTATGAAGATAATGAGGTATCTTATATGTATTAGAACTACCATGGGTCTTGGTACATTGACTTACATAATTACAACAAAATACAGTCTCATTACTTCTATTTATTACCGCCTACTAAACGGGCTATTAGGGGATGGTGGGTAGTTATCACCCCCGAAAAATGGTAAAAATTCTTTCATTCCTCACACAATCATTACCCTATCCCATGTCTCCACCTTGACTCACTTCATTTTCATAACTTTTCTATTACTACTCAATTACTCATTCAGCACATCTATTCTAAGCATTTCTTGAGTGGTACATTGTTCTTATATTACTCGGTAAGCCTTGTTTGGAATCAAATTTTGATTATTGTTGGTTCACTTAGCTTGTTTGACCAACTAGTAACGTTAATTGCTTTATAAGTCTAAAGTAATAGTTACTATTAAATATATTTTAAAATTGGATTTTGATTGAAATATTGTTGTCTGCGTGTGATCACATATAATCTTAACTACTACTCCCTCCATCCCTTAATACAAAGCCTCTTTTGGTTTTTGTGCAGGAATTAAGAAACTTTTCTTTAAAACTAATGATTAAAAGTACATATGTGCATGTGGGGTAAGAGAGAGGTAGAGAGAGAAAAAGTAGTTAGGAATAATTGAAGAGATAGAGAGAGAAAGTGTTAGGAATTGATGTGAAAAGTACAAAAAAGTAAAGGAATTAAGATGCCAACTCATCAAAAAGAGGGTAAATAATGTCAAAAAATGCAAGCTTTAAATAGAAAGAGGCATTGTATTTTGGTTTACCCAAAAAGGAAATGAGGCTTTGTATTATGGGATGGAAGGAGTACTATATGTTGTACTCCCTTCATTTATATTTTAATGCAATACTTCCTTAAAATTACTTTAGGTAAAAAAGTTACCCCAAAAGGAAACGTGTCAACTAAAAAAAAAACTTCCTAAAAAGGAATTCGTGTCAACTAAAAAGAAACGGAGTTAGTATTATATTATTATATCTCTCCTTTTATGCTCTCCACTTAAACCTTTTAAATTTTTTTTTTCCCTCTAACCTCACTTTCTTTACTTTTACATAAAGTGTTAACCTACTAATTTATTTACTTTAAAATTTTTAATTCCCCAACAATCCCCACAAACACAATATTTTAAAAAATTCAAAACCCTCTAAAACTCTATGTTTGGGGAAAAAAAACAAAGGAAGCATTATTCCATGGGCTAGCTAGAATATGGGATACCTAAGCTCACCAACTCTCAACTATATTGAGTATTTTATTGAATGATGATAGGTATCTAACAACACTATGGCAATAAATTAAGTCTTAAGGTTAGAGACCGATTAATACATAGAACTAGACCCTAGGGAAAGGTGATCAAGGCATACATGTAACATTATAATACTCTATAGTGGCTAGGTCAATTATAGAGATATCAAGGGAAATATTTTTTACTTAGGTCACTCTCGGACACACTAAACATTAAAGTTCCCACCCTACCTGGTTAGCTAAGAGGTTTTTCACATATTAAAATTTCTTACTTCCGCTCAACTTGTCCAATAAAAATAAGTTCATGAAGTCAATTAACCACTCTAAGGTTATAAGCGTCAAGAAAGATCAACATGACAACACCTATAGCTTAAGGTATTCAATTATCACCTATGTTACACACACTGAAGTTTCAGTGCCGTATCCAAGTAGGGATTGGAGGAACCGATCCTTTGATTCTAAAAATAGCTGATATGGGGATACGATCAAACAAGCGTCTCGACTATTTTTTGGACACGGCTAGCATATCAAGTGTTGATAAATTTTTTAGATACTTAGTTAAAATAATAAAATTGACATGACAAAAAATCAAAGTCAAACCTTCCAATTATTATAACAAAAATTACTAACTAAGAATTGGATGTTGTTCCAAAACCTACAAAAAATCAAAGTCAAACCATTCAATTGTTAATAAGAAAAAATATTTCAACAAAATAGAATTGCATTTTGTTCCCAAACCAAAAAATCAAAGTCTTACTATCCAATTATTATAACAAAAGATACTATTGCTAAACAGAATTACATATCGTTCCAAATCTCAAACAACTAAAAAAATAAAACAAATATTTCAAAAGGCTAACAATGTCATCGAATGTTTGTCATCTTTAGCTCATAATCTTCATTCAATGCACATCATTTTCATTATCAAAACCAATGATAGGCCTTTCTAATTCCAGTTTGTTGATGGATAGTTCCGCCATCTCGCAAACATCAACATCCTCATCAAATTGATCTCCTCTTGTACGATCATTAAAAAAAATTAATTAATAAGTTAGTTATATTAAATATATATGAAATATTTAATGGTCATTATTTAATTATATAACCTATGTCCCAATAATAGCTAGGGCTGGATTGTTAACTCTCTTGCTACCTTGCCAAGAGACGAAGGTTGTTATGGTAGTACACTAAGTCTCTTGCCCTTATGGAAGTCCGCCTATTTCTCTGTAGAGTTTGAATATTGCTATAATGACTCCATTTTCGTTCATAACATGAAAACGATGATGGTTGTGACAATAATTAAAAAAACAAGTGATTGTAAGTGGGGAAGGTATGAGCCATAATTTGCCATCAAATTGTAGGCTCTTCATCATCTTGGCAACAATTATATGAACTTGATTGAAAGGAGCTGCTTGCCTGCTTCGCTAGAAATACCCCATATTCTAGTCTCGCATGCTGTAAATAATTGTCATTAGGAAATAGACGTTGTAAGCATTTATTTCCGTTAGAAACTTATTCATCTTCATTAGGTGCAATCCTTTTAAATTCCTCTCTACTAGCATTTAGCCATTTTGTGTCTTGGAATTAGTGACTTTGCTAAACAATGTAAGCTTGTGTTACTTTTATTCAACCTACTCAATAATACTTCTTGAATAGCATTTAATAATAATAATATTAAAAAAAAAAAGACTTATTAGATAACAAGCTCTTCCATTAATGTTTAAAAACATTGATTTTTACTTTCAATCATAGTATCCCACATCATGGACAAGATGCAAAACAGGGGAATCTTTGTCTCCAACCCAAATAGTCATATATAGGCTCACAAAACTTCAAAAAATAATCAACATTATCCCACCAATTGTTGCTTAAAATTTTTTCTTTGTATTCACGAGCCTTAATATTAATTGGATTTTTAGGTTATTTAAACGAATCCTAAAATCAAGGTCGTTTCAAAAATTTCGGTGGCCCGGGGCAAAGACATAAATTGGGGCCCTAATTCACATATAGTATTTTAAAATAAAATAAAAATTGGGTGGGCAAAAAAATACATATTTTATTTCCCCAATTTTTAGGATCATAAATATCTAAAGGAGGGACTACTTGATCAATGCCAACATCATTAACATCGGATGTATTTGGTACATTCGTTGGTTCATTCATATTAGTCGCATCCTCATTAGGCTCATTTGCCTCATTATCATGATTTTCGTTATTTTTATTCTCATTAAATTGTTCATGATTTTCATCTTCATCCAATTCATTAGAAGACTCTTCTACTTGTACTACTTTAGTTAAAAATTTGTTAACAACACCCTTTTGAGATTCTATTAACTGTACTGTCCTTTTTCTTTTTTTTTTTTTCCTCTTATCATTACTAGATAAATATTTTCTAGGCAACATTCTATCAAACAAAACCAATAATAAATTAATAAGTATAGAAAAGAACAAAAACACTTGATTATTGAAGCAATTGAACAAAAGACTTAGTACGCTTAATTTGCACTCCAAACAAATGTCTTTTCAAGTAATCAAATTTGAAAAATACAGAACAACTGAAACAAAAAATTTTAGTAAAATTAACTAAAGAAAAATAATATTACATAATTACATTATGATTTAGGAATGAAAAAGTATAAAATTAAAAAGTTAGATAAGAATTAACCTTAGTATACTAGCATTTTGACGAAATGATGAACCCGTAGCTCTCGTCGAACGAGTCGAAGCAATTAGAACAATCACACGAACCAATTCAACAACCAATAAATGAATTAGATATTTTCCCCCCAATTTTATAATTCTCGATTGAAAGAAATTGTACAGATTATGAAAACTTAATAGAACGAAAAAATTTAGATGAATAAAGTAGAATTTTCAAAGAGAATAATATATAATTAGATACGTTCCCGTTGAAAATTGAAAGATAGAATTATCGTTTATCATAATAACGAAGGAGAAGGGATTAATCTGACTGAAAATTGAATTGAGATTAATTTTGAAAAATAAAATTTTTACCGAATAAAAGGGATAAAATTGAATTTATGACGTTTTTTTTTGGGTTATTTGGGAGAAAAATTAGGGAGGAATTGAACAGCGAAGAAAATGGCGTTTGAAATTCTGAAACTCAATTTTTTGCTGTATACGCTTCTTCTTTTTTTTCTTTTTTTTACACATAATTATTTTGGGGCCTTTTCTTAAACTGGGGGCCAGGACGGTTGCCCCACCTGCCTTAGCCTTGCTACGGCCCTGCCAAAATCAAGATCAGTTACCATTTTTTAAGTCCATCTTTCACTTCTCTCATACATTTTGCAAAAACACAATGACTAGCAAACTTTGTTTCATGTCACAAGTTTGTAGATATTGTGCACACATGTGAGGTTACAACTCCTGACATGGTGAAAGAGTAAAAGTCAACGTTTTTGAACATGAATAGCAAAGTTTGTTATGTTATAACACACCCTTACATTGTGTTAATGCTATTCAAGAAGTATTTATGTGTTTATGGAACAAAAGTAACACACCCTTACACTGTTTAGCACACTCGCTAATTCCAAGACACAAAATAACTAAATTCTAGTGGAGAGGGATTTATAAGAATTGCAATGGAGATGATTAAGTTTCTAACAAGAGAATTGAATGCTTGCAATGTCTATTTCCCAATGACAATGTTTTTAAGCATGAGATACTAGAGTATGGGGCATTTTCTAGTAAGCATCTCGTTTCAATCAAGCTCATGTAATTGCTGCCCGAGATGATGAAGAACCTATAATTTGGTTGGCAAATTATGGTTCATATCTTCCACACTTAAAATCATGTTCTTTAAAATTATTGTTACAACCATCATCGTTTTCATGTTGTGAACGAAATTGGAGTCATTATGGTAATATTCAAACTCTAAAGAGAAATAGGCAGACTTCCGAAAGGGCAAGAGATTCAGTGTACTACCGTAACAACCTTCGACCATTGGCGAGGAAGCAAGAGAGTTACAACCAGGCCTTAGCCGTTATTAGGACATAGGTAATATTAGTAAATAATGAGCATTAAGTATTGTATTTGATATTTAGCATAACTAGCTTACTTATTTATTTTTTAATGGTTGTGCAAGAGGAGAACAGTTTGATGAGGATGTTGATGTTTATGAGATTGCAGAATTATCCATCAACAAACTGGAGGTAAAATGAAACGTCCGAGTAACATAGGAACAATATGCAATTTTGTTTTACTGTATAAGGTAAAAATGAAACGTCCGAGTAACATATGGAACAATAACAATTGGATGGTTTGATTTTATGGTATTAGAACACTATGCTATTTGTTTTAGTAGTTTTTTTCAATAACAATTGGATGATTTGACTTTGATTTTTTTTTTTTTTTCTTGTGAACTTTTTTTAATATTAGATTTTTTTTAACTATCGAAAAATTATCCCGATACTTTGTATGCTAGTCATGTCCAAAAGATTAGTCGAGGCGCTCTTTTGACCATACCCCCGTATAGATTATTTTTGGAATCGAAGGATCAGATCCTTAGATCCCTACTTGGATACAACACTCAAACTCGAGTTTGTGCATCAATGGCGAAATACAAAAACTGAGATAATTTGGGGTTTTGTGGTCGTTTCTATTGATGATATTCTACCTTTAAGAGCTTTAATGGAAATTTTGAGAATTTAAGAGGCACATGATGACCGTCTTTTGTGAAAATGGGCATAGATGTAGTAAGATTGGGTTTTTTTGTGAGGGGAATGGCCGGTGTTTGCAAGGTTGGGTAGTGAAGGGCTTAAGTGTGGTGCGGGATTGAGAATATGGAGACTTTCGTTGGAGCAATCGAAGGGGAAGAGAATAAAAAAGGTGGGGGACATGGGTTGATTTTCCTCTGGTGGTGTTCCGAGTGGTTGTGAGTAGCAGTTGGCAGTCGCCGACAGTGTGGGTGCAGTTATGGGTAGTCAGAAGTGAAGAAGAGAGGAAAAGGTGGCCGTTTTTGTTTTTGTTTTTGTTTTTTTTTTTTTAAACATTCTAACCATAGTTAGTTTATAACTAAAAATTAAAGATAATACATTCATTAATGCTATAAGTGAAAATTCTTAATTAAAGTCATTTTGTATAAAAAATTAAAATAAAATAAATAGAGGGTTACCATTTCAGTGTAGCAATTGTTTAGGGTCACCATTGTGAATTTTTTTTTTTTTCTTCTTTTTTTCCTTTTTTCTTTTTTGCCATCAAATTAGTGAGGCTTTCATTTGGAAACTATTGTGGTGTGGTTGCTGAATACACTTGAGTAATTCTATTGAAGTATGCTCATACATCGATATGCAAATTAATTTTGTTTTAACTCTCTAGTTGTTGAGTAGTCATTGTGGGAGAGGGCCTGAATGCCCCATGAGTAGGTTTTAACTTGTTTTTGATTTTGTCCCCTGCTTAATTGAATTATGAACTTTGTTCTATATGGATACTTTCTGAATTATTTAAATCAATACTTCTAATCACATTTTACTCTCAAATCTTTGCAGAACGCCAAGTTGAAAAAATAGATCCTCTATTAAAGTGGGTGGAGTCAGAATTTGGCTACAAGCCTGTAGTGTACACCTGTTTTTTTGGTGGCAAGCAGGATGAAGGTCTTGTAAAAGCCGTTGAAAGTCTATTGAAGAAAGCAGATGATTGTGAACTAGCTACCATTGATGCATTGACATCTGCATCACACTCTTTAATTATTTCTATCGCTATAATTCGTGGAAAATTGCAATTAGGGGAGGCCATTGAGTTGATACGTCTTGAAGAAGATCTGCAGGTTAGTGTCGTATACCATGTTTTTATGAGCCCCCAATCTAACCATGATTTGCTGCATCATTACGTGTATTGCATCGGGTATATGGGAAGGGCTCAGGAACTGTCACTATAATTCAGTTAGAGGTAGCTTAAGGGACATGAAGATTGATATCAATTGAAAGAGGGAATCATTTAGTATATAAATAGAGGATATTGGAGGAGTGATTCAGTTAGCCTATAAATAGAGGAGACTCGAGAGGATTTTTTTTTAAAAAACTATTCTAACACTGTTTCATCTGACAGGTGGACAAGTGGGGTCTTGTCGAGGGTGGTCATGATATTGATATTGCGGATTTGAAGGTGCAGATTGCATCTGCTGCTGTGTTCCTTGGGCTATCAAGAAGGTCATAGTATCCACATTTTTGAAATTTTTTTATCATGAGTTGATTGTGCATTTTTTGTTTTTGTATGCTTCGTTGAAGGCTGTATTGTACTAATGACAAATGGACAACCAATGTGCTGGAGCTTTTTGTAAACATGTTGTAGCCTCTGCAAAAGTAGCAAGAGTAATAATATCTGCTTCGGCATTTCTGAGTATCGTAACCTTTTTTTTTTTAATACTTTATATTATGCAAACATTTGCAAAAACTGCACAAGAAAGGAATCTATAAGGGAAGAAATAATGTTGACACTGTTATTCTTAAATTCGTGTTTCATTCTGGTTCTACAGGTGAAATCTGGAATGTGAACTAAATTATCAGTGTTGAAACATATAGGAACTTAGGGTAAACATGTACTTATCGCCGTAATGGTTTCGTTATAACATGAATATATATGTAAGCTTCACCACTTTCAGTTCTGTTTTTAGTCATGTGCTGTTGTACAATGTATATTATATAGTGCCAAACGGTTGGTAGCATGCCGAAGCAGCTGCTGTTGTGGCAGATTAAGGATCTTCATTGCAGCATTGCACACAAACTGGTGGTTGTTTAATGACACAGTAACAGCAAGTGGTATCACAGTCATTATTGCAACCTGTTACAGAAAATCACCTTTGAGTTAGTTTTTATGCTTACTGTTGCCATTTGCATCAAGATTTTTTTATTTTCTACTGGAAAGAAAGCTTTGATTCACTGATTGGCATCACTTTCATTTCATCATTACCTGTGACTGTGATGACATATTGAGATGATTCCAGTTCATGTGGCTTCAAGACAAATGGAAGTCGGTTGGTTGCCAAGACAGCGATGACATTAATTGCGACAAGGCTCATGAAGAAGTAAGCTATTGCTAGTGATTGCCTCATAGTGTATAAGATTTGCTTTCAGTTGGATTGCCTAATACTGTCAAAAGTGGCTGGAAAATCCATCACCAACATCTTTTATAGGATTGTTTTTGTACTTTATATTCTAAGGTTTCAAACATATGACATGATTTATCAACAGTGTGGCTTATTGTATATTGTAGTTACTAGAAGAGGCATCTTTTACTAGTTAAGAAAAACATCATGTTCATTACATGCTAATAGGAAATATTTCAATTCCAACAGATATTTGGTTTAATGGATCACTCAAGGTAAACCTCACACCAAATCCTTAAATAAGGATAAATTTAAGGTAACTTCACCTTCATCAATACCTCATATGCAAACACAGAAAACTGCTTGGAATTGCATAAAAAGGCACATGTATCACCCATTTACCAAATATTACCCTTTCCTTAACCAAAGAAAAGGTTTTCAACAATCTGCCGCGAAATATTTTCCAATCATGAACACAAATCTTGATAAAGAAAATTAAGTTAGGACTACTCTTAAAGAAAAACAATATTCATACAATTCAGCGTTATCAACATTTTTTTTTCTTTATAATTTATTCAAGGCATTTACTAGAAAATATCAAAACAGGGAACCAACACATATTACCTACTACAAGCTTTTAACCCAATTAATTATACCACTGCACTTCTGAGCACAAAAAGGATTCACCAACTAAAATTTCTTCTGAGTACAGGCTACAATTTGCTTGATAGATTAAATCTGGAAAGCATTGCAAAGAACAAGATTTCAGCTTCACGTGCTACAGCTTCGGGTGGCAGGAGGCAATGAGGCAATGCTATGTATATCCCTTTTCCAATGAGTAAATTGCATCTTCTCCCCTTCAAAGATATTAATATTAATCAAATATTCAGAAATAGTTATCCGAGGGTAACTAATTCTGCACATGATAATACAGAGATTCAAGCAATTGTAAATAGGCCAAAAACCAGGCGCAACAGTGTTGTTCATATTCCATGGTGAAGCTTATCAAGAACTGCAGTGTAGAGAGCTATGGCCTCATTAGAGATCACTCCTGGTTAGACATTTGAATCTTGTGGCGCTTGAAAAATTCTCTAAATCCATAATTACTGAGGTCATGACTGAACTGAAGATTCGATAAACAGGTTTGACATCAGATAAAAGCTAGAAAGCAACGTGACAGCATAACAGATTTTCATTTGTTAAAGAGGTAGGATTCCAGTGTGTATTTGTTAAGTAGCAAGCAACAAAACAAATATAATTAGTCAAAAAATAGCAACTTGTGGAAAAATAGAATGAATCTAAGCCCAATTTTTTTTTTGACAATTGATGGTTTACAGAAACAGCATGTGTACAGCAATTCAATGAAATGAATAAGACCCAAGTACTAGAAAAATATAACAGAATCTTACAGGCAAGACTTTCACGGAGTACTTAGTGACATTTGGATCAGTAACCCTTCCCGGGGCAGCAGCCTGCAAGAGAGGAAAGACAAAATGTTGGTATCTTGGCAATGGTATGTACATTATACAGAGCTGTACAATTTAGTTGCAATCACTCGTTTGTTTCAAACATGTTGCATCTTGTACCAGAAAGAGATACAATCAACAAATACCCAAGCTAATTTAGAAAAAAAAAAAAAAAAAAAAAAGAAAGAAAGGAGGCATGATCCTAAAACTGGATGCTTGCATAGTCCAATTTCCAGAAGACTATTAGACATAGAAGGATCAGACATACTTGCTCTGGGGTATGAAAAATTTCAACAAATGGGTATTCCTTCCTTTGCCGTGTTATACAAAAGCCTGGATACTTAGGACACTCGACCTGAAAATACACAAAGTATCAAAAACATTAAAGATAAAACTGACTAAAATATCATTAAACAATGCAGCAATATTACAGTGGAATGCACAAAATGCAATCAGATCCCTAACATCCTTTTGTCTATACTCTATACCTCCAATATGCCTAATATACTAGAGCAATGCAAAGAACATACATGACAAGCAGAATTAACCACAGCAACGACAATATCAAAGGCTACTCTATCAATTAAATACAGCCTATAGCTTTCTTACATGAAAGAAGAGACAGATATCCATTTATAAATATACTCTAATACAGTTTGTTTCTTTATTTTATAATGAAGAGTGAAACTACTCTCTCAAATTGACTATATAAGATTCGGCAGCCCCATAAACATAACACAAATAAGAAGAAACATACTCTCATAAATTTGACATGAGGGTAAAACTCGGCCGCAGCCTCCTCTAATACTTTGTCAAGATGTCTTGTGTAATTTCCCCTACAAATTCGACACATTGTTTCACATTAAGAAAAGGGTATGAAGACGAAAAATAAAAACCCAAACCAACTATTCCAAGAGGGTAAAAGGGGGGCAAGGAATTCCAGCATACTACCTAATAGTGAAAGCAACAACCACAGGGTAGCCTTGGTGAAGAATCTGTACAAATTGACGCTCCGACGTAAAATGTATAACACGGGATGGTCCTAAATCCTTGGGATAACCAGTATAATACCTTATAATTTCACAAGAAAACACAAAACAATATTAGGATTTTACAATGTATATAGTTCAATAATTATGAATCCCATAGAAAAATTTGATTAACTTTTTACCTGCAACTTTCACGAAAATTCATCATCATCTTACTGAGCACCGATGATTCTGACATTATGGGTATTGATACTAAACCCCTATAACAAAATTAAGCAACATTTCAAATGGGAAACAAAATAAATTGAAAATTTCTGCAAATTTCTTATACTGAACTAAAAATTAGGGCAATTAAAGTAGCAAAACAAAACTACAATAGAATCAGTGGTAGATTCAAGGGGTTCAACAAATATGGAAATTTATTCAATTTGAATTCGAAATGAAAGAACTATGAGAAGATAACGATTGATTATTTACCTGGAGAGTGGACTGAATTTAATTTCTGGAAAACTTTGAATAACCCTAGCGCTCGATTGTTCAATTTTGGGGAAAATGGTGGAGGAAGGCACGGCTTGTGTTTACAATAATCACTTCAATTTTTTTTGGTGCCCGATAGGGAACAAGTTTATGATGTCCTTGTTAACGATTAGTCCGTGCACCCTTGTACACCTTAAATAGATGTAACGACGCAGCCTAAAAGCCCAATTACACACAACCCAATTAAAAAAAATCCTAAAACTAAAAAACATGAAAACTGCAATACACCCACCCACACCCAATACACCCACCCACACCCAATAAATGTAACACTTCCAAAGTCAAAACTTTTCTTCTATATGATTTTCTCTCTCCTCTTTTTCACTTTCTCTCTCCTCTATTTCATTTTCTCTCATCAAAAAATTGCAAAAACATCAATGGACATTAGAGAAGAGATGCAAAATCAAAAGGATCCTCCTTAAGAAAAGGCAATTTTATGTAAATTTCACTTAATTTTGTTTGAATTTATATGATTATCATTTAATTTTGTTTTAATATTGTTCGATACTCTATTGTTCGAAATTTTTTATTGGAATTGTAAAAAAATTAGTGAAATCAAACGGATACCTTATGTTCACATTCTAAAATGCTCATGTTCATATTTTGAATTCTTATGTTCATATTTTGAATCCTTTTGTAAACTTTCTGAAATGCATATATTCAATTTCTAAATCCATATGTTCATATTGTTTTAAGTATATGTTCACCTTTTAAAATGCTTAATTATGTTCATACACATTCAAAAATGAACCAATGCATATGTTCATATTTTGAATGCATATGTTTATATTTTTAATACTTATGTTGCATATGTTTCATAATCATATTATTTTTTATTTCTTCAATTTTTTATGTTCATAATTAAATGCCTTATATTTATATTAGTATTTTATATGTTCATAATGTAAATATTCATAGTAAATATTTGTTGTTCATAAATGTTCTCATTAAGTCTGTTTATGCATATATTCTCTTTCTTAAATGCATATGTTCATATTTTTTACGCATATGTTAACCTTTTAAATGGTTATATTCACTTTAAGAAAACCAATGCTTACGTTCATATTTTGAATTGTTATGTTTACTTTCTGAAATGCATATGTTCATATTTTTTATGCCTATGTTCACTTTCTGAAAAGCTAATGTTCGCATTTAAGGGAACTTATGCATATGTTCATATATTTGCATGATTATGGGCGTGTTCGGCGCTAGCTTTTGAGTAGCTTTTAGGTAGCTTTTAGTGGTTTGACTTTAGTGGTTTGACCAAGTCAAACCACTACTCAACAAAAAATGTGAGTGTTTGGCAAAGTAATGGTTCAAGTAGCTTCTAGTGGTGGAGGTAGCTTTTATTAAAAGATAGGATTATTAGCTTTTGAAATTAGAGGTAGCTTTTAAAAATTTAATGTATAGTTTTAAAAATAAAATATTGATTCTTAAATGTAACAGCTAGTCAACCACTACTTTACGGAACAATCGTACCTAAATTATCTTTTTTTCACAGCTAGCAGCTTGTTGACAGCTAACAGCTATCTCCACATCTCACAGTTATCTCCACAGCTACAGCTACCTTCACAGCTATATTTTGCCGAACATGCCCTATGTTCATTGATAAAAAAAAATGCAGAAAATCAAATGAAATTCATACACATATGAAATTGATCGTAGCTAATAAAAGTTCAATTCATATGAATTCAAAAAAATCAGATAAGCAACCAATTTCATATTCTAAAGAACAGATTCAATCGTTAAATCGTAAAAAAACAAGAAAAATAGGGAAAAGGGAATTAAAGAAGGAAGGAGAAAAACAGAGTATAATTGGTGAATTGAAAGATTCATATAAACCTTAATCTATCGAAATTAAAGCACAAAATCGAAATTCACAAAAAGTGTAAAAAAAGGGGAAATTAAAAAAAAAAGAAACCAGAGGAGAGAGAAAATAAAAAACGAAAGAGAAAAACAGAGGAGAAAAAAGCTAATGTTTACTTTTTGAAAAGCTAATGTTCATATTGTGCTATTGTTACACCTATTTCTAGGTGAATGAGTGTGCACCTAAGAATATGCTCCTTGTTAAACTTGATTGTACAAGTAAAGATGGGCATCGTGCTGTCACGAGCCAGGCCGTGCCTTGCTGGATTTCCGACGGGATGTGCCATAACGTGCCAACTTTTGGCACACCCCAGCCCACGGCACGGCCTACGTGCTTGGCAAGCCGGGCCGTAGGCTAGCCCAATTTTTTTTTATATGTAATTTTTTTTAACAACTTAAGTTTATATTAATAATCTTATTAATTGCTTATGTTAATATATATATATATATATATATATATATATATATATATATAATTTAACAACCTTAATTTAATTATATATATATATATTTTAACAACCTTAATTTAATTAAGATTATATTAATAAATTATGTTTAAGTTTATAAATAATTTAATTAATTTAGCAAAAAACAATAATGCATATAATTAAACAATAATGTCGGGTCGTGCCCGTGCCAAAAGCTCATTTTTGTGTCCACAGCACGGCCCATGGCCCACAAGTGGGCCGCCGTGCTGTGCCGTGTCAAAGGCGTACCGCCGGCACGGCCCACGTCCATCTTTATGTATAAGTGGTAAAATTGCAAATAAATTACGTAATTTTATATTGCTCATATACTACGGGCATTTTATCCAAAAAAGCAGTGTAATTATTATTATTATTTTTTTTAGGGAAAGATAGTACGAGCATTTTATTAAATTAAATCCAATTCCGCCAGAGAGAAAGGTCCAGTACAAATACGTTCATCACAAATTTCGGTATCCCACCTAGTAATGTGGTGGGCAATCGTATTACAAGCTCGTCTAACATGAAAAAAATACAAACGTCAAAAAAAGCTTTATCATGCCTAATATCCTCATATATCAGGTGAATTGGAGTCAAACCTCTTTTCTTGCCTTGGACACCTTTACACAACAAAAGTTATTATTATTTTTTATTTATATATTTTATCTTACAAAAATACTTATAATATATTAAATTAATCATGTTAGTCTTTATAGTATGTAACACTAGTAGAAAAAGATAAAAACGCACCGACAAATGCGCACCGGTTATTAAAAACCGGTGCCAAAAATAAAGCCTAGACCACAAAAATAAAAACAGGTTTAATAGGGCACCGGTTAACCGGTGCCTTTTTTTCCAAAATTCCCTAAAATTAGAACACGCTCTCTCTCCTCACTCTTTCCTCTTTATCTCTAACTCTCTTGTTTTGTCTCCTCTGTTTCCTCTCTCCTCTCAAACTCTCCGTCTCCTCTCTTTTCTCGCTCCACCGCAGCCACCACCAGCGCAACCCTCAACTCTCTCCATCCTAGCTTCCCACCGTAGTCACCACCAGCGCAACCCTCCTCTCTCTCCATCCTAGTTTCTTGCCACCACCACCGCAGTCGTCTCTAATGGCGTAAGCCCTTAAAAAACTAGGAGAACGATGCCTAGATCTCTAATGGCGACACTGCTCCTCACAAGGTTTAACCCTCCTTTGTTTTGTTAATTTTGTATAATTTAGGTTAGGGTTTCGATTTCGTTGAGTTTTTGGGTTTTGATTTTGGATTTTATGATTCGGTTGTTGTTTTTTAGTTTGAATTATTATGTAATGTTTGATTTTGAGTTTGATTTTGTCCCTCTTGTTATGATAATTATTGTAATTTGTATGTATGGGAAGTGAATTCGAATGAATGGGAAGTGAAAGAACTCTTGATTCGAATTTTCAGCTATGAATTTGATGAATCATCAATCGGAATGTACAAACCCTAATATTAGAAATGATGATGATGACGATTCAGGTAAATAATTTATTATGCATTATTCATGTTTCTCATAAGAATCATTTTTTTTTCCTGTTTTGTGAATTTTTCCTGTAATTTAATTAATCTCCATGGATAAAACTAGTAGTTTATTGATAATTATAATTTGTAGAGTAATTTAGACGAATATTTTGGAAATTTGACCTCAAAAATGAGTAAATTAGATAAATTTCTAGCAATGTGTAAAGTAATTTAGATGAATGTTCAAAAAACTGATTACTGTATATTAGATGAATTCTGGTGATTCCTGGAGTAATTTTAATGAATTTTCTTGTAATTTGACCCCAAAACACAGTTAAGATTAAATTGTTGGTAATTTGTGGAGTAGTTTAGATGAATTATGTGATTATTTGATCACAATCTAATTGATATTATTATAGATGAAGTAAAAGTAAGATGTTGAGATCAAAGAGAAGCAGAACCGAGGGAACTTCGTTGTGTGATTTGTGGTAGGTGTATGGGTTGTACATTTGTGATGAGACAGATGATGATGTTTGCATCTTGGAAAGTGGTGTTGCTTGAGTGAAGTTGCAGGTGTTGAATGCTTCTTTTGTTATGAATATGTAGAGATTATACTGGTTCTTGTGCTTGAAAACTGCAGAGAAATAAAGCTCTTTAGGAACATGTGAATCGGATTATAGTATGTTGGTGTACTTGTTGAATATTTGAAATTATATTATATAGCCAATTATGGTCCCATACCCATTCATGTGCTTGCACAATAGAACATTTTATGCCATATAGTTTGATACTTTGAATTTTTCTTGGAAGGCATCACATGATGGAGACTCGTCTTTCAGTAAATAGACCCATAAACCTGATTATTTAAGGTTTATAGCCTTTTTTTGCCACTACTATTAATCCACTTGTACATAGAAAAATACCATGCCTCCCTATGCCTTTAATCTTAATGATGCCATTTTCTACGTTAAAGGATTCCTAGAATATACTTGAGGAACATTCCTTTTTTACCCAGTTGCTTCCTTGTCTTTAGCATTTAGACCTCATAGTCAGATTGTATGTGTTTCTGCTTAATTCAATTGTGAAGGTGGATCATTCTTGTTTTGGCTATTATTTAAATAAAAATATTTTCTTTTGTTTTTCACTATTTGGTGTTAGAGAGGAGAAGCTAACAATATAATTGCCTTTGTATACCTTCTTTCCAACCAGAAGTGGATTTCCTTGCAGGGAATATATTGATAAGGACACGACATCAGGTCTTGCTACCTGATCTATAATTTGTGTGCATCTTATTCTATAATGAAATATGATGATGATTTTAACAACTAATGTCTTTTCCCATTTAATAGGGGCCAGGTAGGTTGCATCTCCATGTTGATCTAAGAAGTAATCATTATGTCGGTCAGTAACTTAATTCTTTTCCTCTTTTATCATTTTTTTTATTCTGTCATGTGCATAGCCATTTTTTGTTCTATGAGATATTTCTTAATTATAGATTGTGATGGTCCTATCCTCCAGAGTCCAGGCCACTATCTTTTGGGGGATTATCTGGCTATCAGACTACATATGTTTTATTATTCTCTAGTTCATTCTAATAGGTTTTATCTTCTTTTCTCCTGATATATACCGCTTGACAATATTTTCAAGAGCTTATATTATTATAATTTTACTTGTATTCGAATTCAAACTGTAGAATTTAGTGCAATTTTGGTATTTTCTGAAAAATGTTGGTATTTGCAACTTTCCTTTGTTAATATATTATTCCTTCTCTGATTTCACTATCTAGTAATAGAGTACTTGTCAGAGTGCCCTGAATTCTTACTTTAAATCAATAGTACTTTGATCACTGCTATTCTCTTCATAGCCTACATGTAATTTTTTGATATAATGATCAATTCTTAATTGCATTCTTAGTGCAGCAGGTTTGTTTTTATCAACAGTTTGATTGTAGGGAGTGGATTAGAAAGGCATTGGCTACCATCTTTTTTTGGGCAGCCTATGAAATGCTACGATCCAACAAGGTAGCGGAGGATTGGAGACAAGCTATAATAAGGTGGTGGTGTGTACTGCTTTAGACCAGACAACAATGAAGAGCATTATATCCGCACAGCAAGGGCTGAGAACTGCCCATGACTTGGTGTTCTGTTTCTGTGCTGTTCCTTCTGTAATATTACAGTTTTTTTTTTTGTTTGGACCAAAATTGTAATATTAATGGCTTTTAGCCTTTTATTAATGAAAATATGTAAGTTTATATATATGATAGTGTTTATATATCAATTTAAGTGAAAAAATGCAAAAAAAAAAAAAAAAATTATTTTTTGGGTCATTTTTGGCACCGGTTTTGAACTAGAAACGGTGCCAAAAATCCTGTTTTTTCCACCAGTTTTGAACCGATGCCAAAAATCCCACTTTTTGGCATCCCTCAAATACCCAACGGTTCAAAACCGGTGCCATAGGGGGGTTTTGAACCGGTGCCATTTTACATTTTTCTACTAGTGTAATAATTTATTTATAAGAAATTATACATTAAAATAAAATTCAAACCGATGACAAAACTGAAAGTTACCCTTTAAAGAGCTAAAATTACCATAAAAATAGCTAAAATTACGCTTAAACAGACCGTTTTACACTAACATTAATATAAATCCGTTGTAAACAAGAATTATTCCATATAATTTAGCGCTTTTCCTAAATAAAATACTTCAATATAGGAAAAATCCAATTCTCATATTGTAGTCATTTTTTAAATATATTTTTAATATTTTGTATATAACTAAGATATTCAATGAAATGATATGAAAGAATTAAGTAGGGATGGCAGTGGGTCGAGGCAAATGGGAAAACCGCGCAACCGCCCCATCCCGTCTCAATGGGGCAGGGATGGAGGGAGGTTTGGAGGGAGATGGGGTGGGAAGGGTATAAAAATTGTACCCGCCATAGGTGATGGCTTGATGGGGCGGGTATGGATTTTAGAGTAAATCCGACCCATCCCCGCCCCACCCCATCACCCGCCTCATACCGCCTTATATACTTTTTCTAAAGGTTAAAACGTACAAGCGGGAATAGCTTAGAATCTAAAATATAATAATATAATAAACATAAAATATTGTATTAATAACATTAGCGTCAATGAATGTTGCCAAGTGGCTGAAAAAAGAGGTTTATTAGAAATGATAAATTTTCATATTATTGTCATATAATATGTCATTATGGTAGTGGGTATGGGGCGGGTTTGAGGTGGGTATGGATGTCCAAATGGGTGGTGGGACGGGGATGGATATACACTTGTACCCGCGCGAGACGGGTTAGGATGTGGATATTGTACCCGCCATGGGTGGTGGAACGGAGATGGGTATAAGATTTTTAGGCGTGTATAGGTGTGGAGGTATCATCCTCCGCATCCGACCCACTCCATTGTGAGTAAAAATTTAGAACATACGAGTAAAAATTTAGAACATGTGTTTCAAATTAAAATTTAGAACATATGAGTAATAATTTAGAACATCTATGTGAGTAATAATTTAGAACTCTAATTTAAGAATTAGAACATGTGAGTAAAAATTTAGAACATCATACTTAACTTTTTGTAGCATAGCGTTTAGAACATAATGCCTAGAAATTTAGAACCTATACTCAATAATTCTTAACATATGTAATAGTTCTTAGAAGAATAAACTTAATTAGCTTTTCAAAATATAGTTTTAATTGGAACATGATACTCAAATTTTAAGACCTTGAACTCAAAAACAAATCTGAACATATATGCAATATTTTTTTAGAACATATGCAACATATTTTGGAACCTACGTAACAGTTTTTAGAACATAGTTAAATTTTTTAGAACATAATTCGCTAATATTAAACACAATTTGAAATTCTATTTTTACAACGAATTGATTTGAAATCAGTTTATTCTTGATTTTCAAGGTAACAAAAACATATTAATTGTTGTTTAGTTTCTTATATTCAATTAAAATTCCTTGAAATTTCAAACTCTATAATTTGGCCAATTTGATTGATTTGGATGAAAAAATTTTGATTTCACATATTAAACTGTGAATTAAGCTTGGTTTACCTTTGATTAAGCTTCACAACTTGAATTCTTGACTACAATTGTTCAAAAGTTGGTACAAAACACATGAAATTCTTGAGCGTGTGGTGGTGGTGGTCGTCATGGAGAGGAGAGAGAGAGTGTTGGCCATGATGTCAGGGAGAAGAGAAAGAGCGATGGTGGTGGAGGTGACGACATAAAGGCTATGGAACAGGCGGTGGTGGTGATAGAGGAACTAGAGATTGGATAGTGTTGGTGAAGAGAGGAGAGAGAATGTTGAGGTTGAGGTTGAAGATGATGGGTTTAATTTATTTTCAAAATATCTACCTTAATATATTAGAACATAGATGTGTTCTCACATATAAAGTTTTCTCACATAAGAGAGGTGTTCTCACATGAGCTTCTCCCTATATATATATATATATATATATACCCTCTACATCCTCCAAAATTTTATGTCCCAAAGTAAAAGCCTCATTCCATTTAAATTTATTAGGAGAATTTTCAATGGTCGGAGTTACTTGAGTTATTCGGTTAGGGGTTACTCAAGTCATTCCTGACCAAGTAACCTCTCAAGTAACCCATAAACGAGTAACCCTTGACCAATTAACCCCTAAAATAACCCCTGACCAAGTAACCCTTCAAATAACCCTTGACCTAGTAATTCGAGTAACCCCGACTACACGGTACGATCAACCAAATATAAAAATTTGTGAAATTTATATATTTGTACATTTTAATAAAACAACCACACAATTTTTCTTTTATATTATTTTTAGTCAACAAAACCCCATTATCATGTTTTCTATATTCACCTTAATCAACCAATCTTCACTACCTAATTATTTTAGTTGCCTTCCTAAACACTTTTGCAAAAGACAAATAGCTTTAATTTGAGAACGAATGGAGTCAGAATTAAATTCTTAAATCATAGCCATATACTTCATCACTTCCCTTTTTAATTATCTCTAGTCATACCTTACCCTCTTTCATTCCACCTCACGATATGCAAGCACAATTTCACTAGAGTTCTATGCTAGCTTGCTGGCAAAGTAGGGTGAAAGTAATACGAATTAACTCCGCAAACCGAACCAAACCAAACCAAATTAATAATTTGGTTTCATTTTTTTTTTCACAATTTGATTTGGATCGGTTTGGGATTTTAAGAAAATATGGATTGCGGATCGATTTCGATTTTGATTTTAAAAACCGAAATTTTTATTAAGCCTAATACCTCGGCCCAATTCCCCTTCATGTATATACAAATTTTTACTTACACCCCGGGGTAAGGAACACTGCCTGCACCTCCCCCCCCCCCACCCCCCCGGTACCCTCCGTGCATGTCCCGCCCACTCCTTTTCCTTTATCAATTTTCTGTAAATTTTTATAATGTGTTCATTTTGTATTGGCAGATGTTCATTTTTGTATTGTTAAATGTTTATTTTTTAGCAAGGCGTTTTTTATTCTAATTAATACTTCATATATTTTTTGGATTGTATTTTTAGAATTTTCTATAGATAAAACTAAGAACAAAATTATTTATAAGTATTGTTGTACTCAAATTATTTTTATTATCAGAAGTATCACATCATCAACCGATCATTTTTGTTTATTTATGTTTCATTCTTTTTTATATAATCAAATATTCCTTTCAAGGATTATGTGTAACTGTGTAAGTAATATAGTAAGTTGTATGCAAATACATACATCTAAGAGTTCTATTTATTTAAATAAAATGTTGTTAAAAATAATATCCAATATAAAATAATTTAATTAAATTACAATAATAATACATTTCTATTCTATTTCATGTAATTGTTTCATAACACATTAAAGTGAACCATTAAATTCTAAATGTATATATGTGTCTTGTTTAATGGGCATTATTAATTGTTACTTTTGGTACAATAAAGTGTCTATATAGATACATTCTCCTTGTTGCATCTTTAATCATATGAAATTTGTGTGTTTTCCATGAAAATATAATCCGATGAGCACAATACATTTGCCGCCTTCAACTTCATTACTTGATTATCACATATAATAAGAGATCACGTTTTTTTCAAAAAAAATAATAACAACCATGAACACATTCCAAACAAAAGTACGTGAATTCTAAGGATTCAAAGTTAAACATTTACGAATGAATATAATAACAAATTCGAAAATGAACACACAGTAAAGTAATAAATTAATAATACATTTTCTACGATGAATGAACACTATGTGATTATTTTTGAACATTTTCTGATATGTGAATGAACATACATTAAATATGACGTGTGAATATACATTAATATATGTGTGAATATACACATATCCAAATGAACATCTATGTATCAATATTCGAATAAACATCTGACAATATTAGAGTTAAAATGTATGTATATATTAATTTAATATGAAGTTGAACATGTATTATTATAGTCTATGTGAATGTATTTTCAATATGAGAATGAACATGCACGTATTTAAATCTAATGAACAATTATTTCCCATTATATATTCATTAAAATCTGAATTATCATAAACAAAACTAGGGTAGTCTTCTCTCAAGACTGGACCCTAGTTGATCTATTCTAAGGTAAGAATGTGAATGATCATTGTAGACACCCAAATGTGTCTCTCCAAAACCAAACCCAGTGATGAATTTTCATTTGATTATCGAACGAATTGAAAGTGTGAAAAGTTTAGTGATGTGGATGTTTTTAATTAAATTATCTCTATTTCTGTTTTCAAAATTGTTTCTTCTTTCACTCTATTTATGAAAAGCGTGCAATCCAGTTTATTTTGATACATGATATGGGTCCAATAATAGTGAAGTTGTATGGGGTTTGAAAAGACCTTTCTAACGATATATTATAAGCCCAATTCCGATGAATAATGAGGAAGTTATGGCCAAAATACTAAACTAAGCCCAAACCGGATTTTACCTACGACCAAATGATCAAGTAGAGGGTCCAAATGTTTAATCCCATTCCTAAAATAATTAGGATTAATTAGAAACTTTCATAAATTTCTAAAATATCTTAATTATCCTTTTTGAAACGATAAGATCATATAATTTGAAATTGAATAAAACTTTCCTTTTTTTAAGTCCTAATTCTATTCGAATTTAAAGATGTTCCAAGACAGTCAGATATTATTTTTGTGCCTCATAATATTTATCCAAATCTTATATGGTTGGATA